TTCCAACCATGGATACACCTAATCGTCGATTATCTATGGGTTCAATCATGAACCAGCATAATGAAGGTGAGTCTCATCGCTTGGCAACCCCCAAATGGAGATTATCAGTGGGTTCAATTGAGAATAGTCACATAGGTAAAGGTTCAAAATTTGTGGAGATTGTGGAGCCAAGAAATGAAATTGCTTGCCAAATCCTTTAACTTACAGTGATTTGCTGGTGGATGTTAAGAAGCTCGAGGAAGTGATAAGATTTTGGAGATGATGGAAAAGATTGAATGTGCATTGCTTGGGGATACTTCCAACTTGATTTTGATGTTGTTTGTTCACTGGGGTGATGAAAAGTGGATGAAAGATACTGGGATGGGATGGATGAGTGGAATGGGACCAGATCAGAAATCTTATACGATCATGGTTCATGAACTATTTATGTATTTATGTGTTGGATGCTATGGAAAGAGCAAATAGACCTGGGAAGGAAAAAAAATATCATTTTGGCCTATTATGTATTTATGTGTTGTATGTACATATTTGTGAAGAGTAATGTGAATTTTTAGAATCATGTTGTGGGTAAAAAAAAACAGTGTTCCCAAAATCTATGAAATACATCCAATGCGTTGTACATATATTTTATCACAAAAAACATGAAATGTATACTATTTATCATCATATTTCATTCTAAAGATTATAGATTTTCTTGACTTATATGTTGAGTGGTTAGATGATTTAATATATTTGTCTTATAGTTGTGGTCAAAGTCTCTTCTTCATGTTTATATATTTTCGAAACTTCTATCTATGCAAATTCATATAAACCTCGTTCCTATATTATGTGACATTGCATATAAATATGACTAACAATTCTATTTTTAATTAATTATAGCAATAGCATGTTTAGTTTGGACATGCGATATGGCTATTGAGCTGTAGTTGTTAGTGTGAATATATTTGAAGCTACGTAATGTATTTGCAACAAATTTCTTTGCATCATGTATATTTTGTATATCAACATGATATTTTATCTATTTGCCTAATAACTGATTTATTTTCTAGGATACTATGAAAACAAAAAAAAGCTGAGAAAAGATTGCAATTGCAACACAAGTTCATCTGTGAAACCATAAAAATATAAGAATATCTGAAAAACACAAGACAACAAAGCTCTGTAGCTTTCAACACATTTGACAAAAAAATATAATCTCTATCTGCTTCCTTGATGGATAAACCCTAAAGCCACATAAAACAAACATGAAATGTAGTTAAGCTGATGTCTTCATCTAGAGACTTGCATAATCACTTGCATAGGCCGGGGTAGATTTCATGACCATCCTTTGGCTCTACATGCACCCACTTGCGTCCACTCAATTTGTGGTACTCAAATTTGACACAACATTCCTTAAAAGCATATAGAGTGAGATCTTTCCAATTCCAACATAATTTCCAGGATGGAAGCGCGTTCCCCTTTGATGAACAATGATGTTCCCATGTATCACTCTTATGCACCATATAATGACTTACATTGCATTATAAATAATGAAGAATAATCGAGTGTTCGTTGGAGGGTTGATTGTCGGCTGGACAATGAAAATACACCAAGAACAATATAATAGAAATTATAGTCTTTAAGTTCATTCTCTCAGTTCATCAATTTTTTTTCACTCTAAGATTCTTTGGAAGAGAGTCATGTCCATTTTTCGTAGATCCTGTAGCCTTTTAGGTAGCCCAACGCCTAAATGTCAAGCTCAAATCCTCTCCAGATGCATCTAAAACATGTATTTGTATTATTATCCAACTCAGAAAAATTAACATCATACTCAAAGAAATACAAAGGAAAATTCATACCAATGGCAGAACTGTAAACATGTGTACTGGAAATCACATTCTGATACTTGATTGGCTTTTATGCAGTAACTTCCATGTATTCATCATATTGCTTATAGTGTAAGAACAATGAACCTAAGTAGAAAAATCACAACATATCAAATAATATGTTCAAAACATGTAGACAAATCATAACAATAATGAACACAATATATTGATCACATCACTTCATTGTGATACGAGTTGATCATTGAACTTAGCTTTCAGCATATCCCGTATTAGTAATTCACAATTTCTAGATGATATAAATCATATATGGTGTAAAATTTTTAGCCCAAATCAAAAAAAGAAAGTAAAATCTGTCATGGGGAGTGGTCGATCTGATATCTCTGGGTTGCTTTAAAATTTTAATTGACCACAACCTTTATTGTTTCAACACATTATTTCAGGCATTACATCAAATAGTTTATTAACATAGCCTGAAAAGACTATCAAATGTCCAAAAACCTCGTTATTTATTTCTTAAAGAAAATGTTCTGAAAGATTTTGCAGAAAAAGAGACTGAACATACCTGTCACCGAAGTGAGACGAATTTAAAGTACAAATTGGGGAGTAGCAAATGCAAAATGATTTCATATTATATACATTACAGTTAAAATATTTCCAAATTTCTTTTTAACAAGAAACATGAAACGTTTTTTCTTTTTGAATTTACCATCTCTTTTGCACTCAGAATTAATGACCGCAATTTCAACAATGAATTTCAGTTACATATGAATATTTTTGGAGTTGTGAAGAACAGTAAATCTGGAAAAAAAAAATAGAATTATTCTTATGGTACATCACAAGATACATAAGGGTGTCCATAATGAATACTCGGCGCCCCCCTATTGGTGGGGGCACTTGTGGGACTGGTACCCCAACCAATGAGAGAGCGCTGGATGTCCGTTATGAACACCCTGATGTAACTTGTGATGTACCACAAGAATTGTCCAAATAATATACCCACTATGTAGCATATAATGGATTTAAATAAGAAAGTAGTATTTTATGAAATGTTTTATTATTGATGGGTATATATGAATTGTGGAAATTACATCCCACTGGGCTTTTAAAGATTACTATTCTTAAATCAAGTGAAAAGTTTAAATAAGCAAAAATCAGGTGATTAATATATAATAATAATAATATTATTATTA